ACGCCCGTCAAATTTGACGAAAGTATTATGGTATGGGGTTGTCCGTCTCTCCGGCGTAAACTTTTGTTTGTCTGGCAATCTCCTCCTACCGATCTCTTTGAAACTTGGTATACATTATAATCATGATATGAAGTTGTGTCTCCCTTAAAAGAATTTTGTTTCAACACCTTTTCCAAAAGTTATTGCCCTTTGTTCATTTCAGCATTTGGTTTTTTTTGTCCGTGATCTTCTCTTACAACTTTTGACGGATTTCTTTGACACTTAGTAGGCTAAATAATCATGATATGTTGTTGTGTTTCCTTGAAAAGAATTTTGATTCAACAATTTTTGCAAAAGTTATTGCCCTTTGTTTATTTCAGTATTTGATCTTTGTCCGGCAATCTCCTCTTACATTTTTCAACGGATCTCTTTGAAACTTGGTATACATTTTACCAGTAATTATGATATGAAGTTGTGTCTCTCTTAAAAGAATTTTGATTAGACGATTTTTGCAAAAGTTATTGCCCTTTGTCCATTCAGTATTCTATTTTTTGTCCAGAGATTTTCTGATACATTTTCTATAGCATGTCAGCTAACCACTCTTAGAATGATGCAGATCTTATTTCAATGTAAGAAAGTATATAACACTATATGGCATTTGATGGGCGTATATTGTTCCACCCCGCGGTACTCTTGTGGAGAATAAATTCTGATCCTCATGAGCTAAGTATATTTTTATGAAATGTTGGTGAACATTCACCTTAAGTTTCATAGTAAAAATGTAAAGTTTTACACTCTGTGACAGTGTGTCCTGTTATGACACCATCCCACAGCCCCCGGGGGGATTGGGTTAGCCGCAGTGTAGGTAAATTTGATAAAAAAACATATATGTACAGTATCTTAAAAAATGTATTTATACTATTCAATATTAATACATTACATAAATTACTTTCCCCTTCATAAAATGTATAAGCAGGACTATCATCTAAAGAAGTACAATAAACAATAAAAAAAAATGTATATTATATACATATGGGGCAAAGAAGTAATTCCAACAGTGTGGACAAGTTTAGGTTGTCAAATTTTCGGAGCGATCCCCTCCTTTATCAAACACAGTGAAACAGAACAGTTACATGTACATAAATGTATATACATCATATTACAAGAAGATAGAACTGATATACTATAATTGAAAATATAGCTATTATATAAAACCAATAGTCCCCTCAGCTTAAGAAATATATATATACATTAATTTTGTCTTCGTAACATTTATGAGCATGGTTCAGCTGTAATTTGCCAGTATAACTACCTTGAAGTTATTTGTCTTTTGCTCAAAAGAACTCTGTTCCCAGATCTTCATACAGGTTGCATTGATCTGTTTAGCATCAAATACATGTACAGTATCAGACTGGCCCCTGTTATATACATGTACAGTACGTATGCACAGCCCCTGTTATATACATGTACAGTACGTATACACAGCGCCTGTTATATACATGTACAGTGCGTATACACAGCCCCTGTTATATACATGTGAGTGGGGCACCTGTCAAATATACATGTATAGCATATACAGCCCCTGTTATATACATGTACAGTACGTATACACAGCCCCTGTTATATACATGTACAGTATGTATACACAGCTCCTGTTTATACATGTACAGTACGTATACACAGCCCCTGTTATATACATGTAAGTGGGGCACCTGTCAAATATACATACAGCCCCTGTCAAATACATGCAGAGTACAGTCCGTTATATATATACATGTATAGTACAGCCCCTGTTATATATACATGTATAGCATTTACAGCCCCTGTTATATACATGTAAGTGTTGGGCTCCTGTCAAATATACATGTATAGCATTTACAGCCCGTGTTATATACATGTAAGTGGGGCCCCTGTCAAATATACATGTATAGCATATGCAGCCCCTGTCAAATACATGCACGGTACAGCCCGTTATATATATACATGTATAGAACAGCCCCTGTTATATACATGTAAGTGGGGCCCCTGTCAAATATACATGTATAGCATTTACAGCCCGTGTTATATACATGTAAGTGGGGCGCCTGTCAAATATACATGTATAGCATATACAGCCCCTGTCAAATACATGTACAGTACAGCCCGTTATATACATGTATAGTACAGCCCCTGTTATATATACATGTTATGTACAGCCCCTGTCAAATACATGTACAGTACAGCCCCTGTTATATATATACAGCCCCTGTCAAATACATGTAACACAGTACAGCCCCTGTTATATACATGTAACACAGTGCAGCCCCTGTTATATATATACAGCCCCTGTCAAATACATGTAACAAAGTATAGCCCCTGTTATATGCATGTTATGTACAGCCCTTGAACTGTAATATATTCAGGTGGGCTTATATTCAGACACATTGTCGGATAATAAGAATCAGCTATTGTTTACCATTTAGCATATATATCGCCTAATAGTAAGAAATATCATTGTGTTTTTATTAATTTGATCAATATCTGACAAAAATAGGTTGTGCGAGAAACGTTCGAAGTATTCAGAAATTAGATGGAAAACATTGATGCTTCAAATAGGACAAGGTGGATTTATAACAAAATTGAATTTATGGCTATTTACAAAGTAGGATATGTACCGGTACATGAGTGTTTAAAGAAACCCAGTACAGTGATAATCAATAGTGCCTCACACACATTCATGATCACAGCTGCACTGATCATGATTAAACAGTGTAACAAAGATTTACAATAATGTCTCGGGCAGAGCCATAATAAGAGTACTGCAAACAAGAGCATATAAATGCCCATCAAATCTACCCTGTGAATCAGCTTTCTAAAAAGGTTGGAATAGTTCATTATGAAATTTCAGGGGTGAATGAATTAAGGATTCCCTTACCACTTCTAAAATCTGTTACTATGCATTGGAAACTTTTCATACAGCATAATTATAGCTTTATCAAAAGACACATGTTGTGGCTTTTTTGGGGGAAATAATACAGACAGAAATTAATAATATGCAACGGCCAGACCATGATCAAGTCCTTGGACCTCCGAACTCAAGATGATGCACTTTAAGCAACTGAGATCTATACCTGGTCAAATTGTAACTGACCATGTCCAGTCTATTATCATTGATCTACTGTAACCATTTGTCTACTATACCTGTTGGCCTATTGTAACTTTGATCTACTGTAACCATTGATTTACTGTAACCATTGATCTACTGTAACCATTTGTCTACTGTAACTTTGATCTACTGTAACCATTGATTTACTGTAACCATTTGTCTACTCTACCCATTGGTCTACTGTCTGTAACATTGGTCTCCAACCCCCAGTTGTTGTCTGTAACTTTGATCTATACTGTAACCATTGATTTACTGTAACCATTTGTCTACTCTACCCATTGGTCTACTGTCTGTAACATTGGTCTCCAACCCCCAGTTGTTGTCTGTAACTTCGATCTACTGTAACCATTGATTTACTGTTCTGATTGGTCTACTTTAACCATTGATCTTATGTTTCCATTGACCTACTTTGATGCAAATACTGAAGATTTTTATCTTTTCAACATTGTTGTAGTCTTCCTTTCCATGTTAAGTATATACAGTATGGAAGATAAAACTTGAAGCAGACTCAAAATCAAATGATGTTTGAAATTATATATTACAAATTGAAAGGGTGAAACAGGGATTGGGGCTAACGTGGTCGGGCAAGTGACCCCAACCTTTTTACGTCCGATCGGGTAGTTTCATCACATTCATCCATGTAACTGGCTTGTGAGCATCAGGGATGAATCTAGACTTGATTCACTACCGTTTATGGGTAGTTTCCCCTACAGAAGAAAATTCCCCTGTTCTTTGAAATTCCCCCTATGTGCTTCAAAATTCCCCTATTTCAACAAGAAAATAGCCGCTTTTTCTTCAAAATATTTTCCCTATATATGTTTTCTTTAAAGTTCAACAGTTTCAAAATGTCAGACAAAACATTTATCTTTTACCTTCATGATGCTGTAACCTTGTATCAAATTTTGATTCCCCCCAAATCTGAAAAAGGGCAGTTTCCCCTAAAATCTAGATTGATCCCTGAGTATTCACAGGTATTAATTATATATATATAACCTAACATTATTTTTAATTTCATACATTTATATGTAGCGGAACAGGACAGGGTCAATCGTTGGTGACCAGGGCCCGTATTCATGAAACCATTCTCATGTTCAAGCATAGATTTTGTGCTCAAGTCTAATTTCTTGCTCTTGTTATAACTTAATAAATCAATCTAAATTTGTCAATGATTTGGAAACGTTTTGAGAGACTTAATGCCAGATGCTGTTTCCAATGTTAACATTTGACTTTGTGATCGTGTGACATAAGTTAAGCGAGTTGCAAAAAAGATGGTTTGAGCACAGAATCCATGCTTGAGCATGAGAAAAGTTTCATGAATACGGGCCCTGGAAGCTCAATTGGTAGAGCGTCTGTCTAGAATTCGCCGGAGTTCGAACCCCTGTCCGGCCGTGCATTTTTCCACTCCTGATATAAATTATGAATAGTTAGTCTACAGTATTAGCAGAGTACAGATACCTGGTAATCATGCAGACTTTCCTCTGGTCCCTATGCCAGACATATCTATCTGTCAAAAAGTCAAAGGTCTTTTGTACATGAGCCTCAGGTCACTGTATAGATATATAACTAAAACTCAACTTAACTCATTAATTTAGTCATTAATAAATATGTTGTTTCATTGATCATGATTTGAAACAAAATCTCTCTAAACCCTGGGAAGTTCTAACATATAGAATACAACAATGTGACTCGAGCTCACATTTAACCGCGAGATGTTTGTGAGTGAAGTCACTTCCCATTACCTGTCATTTTCAGTAGTCGACATATCTAGAATTTTATAAATTACCGGCATCAATGCTGTCAGTGTCACGTGTTGCAAAAATAAGTTACACACAATTAATGCAAAATAAGGCAGTTATCGGATATTTGTAAAACAAACCTGGGTATCAGGGTCGAGAAAGACACTGTCCGCAATATTCGTTACAATCACTGAGTCTGGTAAATCATCGTAAAAATCCTCATCGTTTGGATTCCCTACGTCACAATCATCAATGTCCTGCAGGCTATCATCAACACTGTCCATATTTTCGTGTCCATTTTCCGCCATTTTGCAGTCATTACTCTCCGAAGTATCAAAACGTGACGGGTCCCCTCGCATTATACACCAAATGAACAATTTAATCAAATTGTTTTAAGCAAAAGTCAAATCCTTCGGGCGAAACTGGCTATACATCGATCGAGTCGTTACGTCAAAAAACGAAATGACAGGCTGGGGACTCCGGCTGACGTCATCAAAGGGAATTCCCTAAAGTAAGAGGTACCTCAAGGGAAATTCGACAACGGAAAATAAATTCTAAACGCGTGTATTGCAGACAAGAATTCTATTGAAATGTGTAGGAGCAAACGTGTGCCAAATTCGCACATTAAGAAAAAAAATATCGATACAATTCTATTACAGAGTTGAGATGCATAAAAATATTCTATTTCAGAGATGGTCATCCTTTTTCGGAACACAGTGTTCTGACAGTAATTTGGATTGACGAGTAGGGAATTCCAAACGCCAAATTAAACACAACTCATCTTTTAAGTAATTGAAGACAGGGACAAATGATTATAGATAGGTTCAATTCAGGTGAGATATCTTAATTCAATCCGAGATACACCTGTATGACATTACGTACATGTGTATTTCCACTTGAACTGATTTTTGATGGGAATATTTTGAATTTTAAACCTTGGAGTTATTTTTGAATTTTAAACCTTGGAGTTATATTCAATTCAGATGCAAAATGGTCAGATCATGCAAGTGAAATCTTTAAATCGGTAATGAAAAAAATAAATATTTTGCGAAAACTCACATATATGTTGAAGCGGGATGCTCTTACAAAACTTATAAATTACTACTTTTAGAATATGGGATGGATGTACTCTGGTCGATTCTGAAAAGTTAGAGAGGGCTCAACGTGAAGTAGCTAGAATAATTACAGGTTTACCGTCATATGCTAGAAATGAATCATTTCATACAGAAACTGGTCTTGAATTGCTTTCGGATAGAAGTAGAAGACGAAAACTCAAGTTAATCTACAAAATGGATGGATCAAACCCCGAACTACCTAATAAATGATAATGACAAAATTCCCAATTTCAGACTCTCTACTACTAGTTAATCTTTCTTGCCTTCTTCATTAAAATGTGGAATACTTTAGACTATAATATTAGATCCATGTCTTTCTCATCTTTCAAATCAACTTTAGTCCCAAACATACCATATAGTACCTCTTCTTTGAAAGTCAACCTTACACAAATGCTCGTACTGTACTTTTTGATCATACAAATCATTTAAATGTAAATTCAACGTTGAGATTATTACTGTTTGGAAATGAAAATCTGGCTTTGGATACAAATTGTGATGTATTCAAACAAGTGCAAACTTTATTAGATCCAGTGGAAGATTTTAACATGTTTCGATTATGAACTTGATTTTTTTGTGTATGTGTTTGTGTTACTTAAAAACTCGCTTCATACTATTATGAATTGTAATTGACAGTCTATATCATCATCTGTTGTTTTGAATTATTGTTGTAAGGAGATGGCTTTTTGTAATAACTTGTGCCAAATCCTATTTTCCAATTTTGGTTATTATGTCAATTAATCTAGAAAGAATGGTGAGTGAGATTGACACATTATTGTTACTCTCTTCCTTTTTCTATTGATTAACGCTATCTTTATGTAATTTGAAATGTAAACATATATGTATGTATTGGTTGACTTTAATCTCTTGTAAAAGAGGAAATAAAGAATGTCTGTCTGACTGTAATGGATTGAACCACAGATGTATAAAACCCTGATTGAACCTACCTAGAATGTTTTAATACATATCCTCAAATAAAATTTATGATATCTCCACAGTTGAATATTGAACCTACCTTCAATTAGATTGAAGTTATGTTCAGTTGAATGAGACATATCTTCAATGAATGGGCTCCAAAATAAAAATAACGATATCTCTCCCTTTTGAAATTTGACTCTCCTTATGGGAGTAGCAAATATTTGATCCCTATAATCAATTTTATTAAAGTTGTTTTCAATGCAATTAAAGAAAGCTTGCATTAAACTGAGTGAAGATAGGTTAAAATTATTTAATATATTTTCAATTCGCCCGGCCCCATATGAGCCTAGCTGGCTGTTGCGAGGATGTTAGACCCCAAATAACCAAACAAATCTTCAATTCAATTGAAGGTTTATCAAGTTGGTGAGTTTTAGAGACATGTAATGGAAAGGTATCCGTCTTAGCGGAAATGGCCTGAGTCGACAGGAGAGGGGAAAATGCACGGCCAGACCGGGGCTACCTGGTCGCCGACGATCGACCCAGTCCGTACAGACTAATTAGTTAGAGGTCGGAGGTCCTGGGTTCGAATCTCGGTCTGGCCGTGTATTTCCCTTCTCTAGTTACAAAAGAGATTGCTATAATTTAAATATTATAATTATAGTTTCATGGTGATTTGGGGTTTTGATGCAGAACTTCAATCAATAAGCCAATGATGCAGGATATGTCGTCCGCGTGTTCTTGAAGGATGTCCTTCAACACAAGTGATTTAGATAACACACGTCTATTATAGCTTTCAGTTTTATATGGAACGATGTCCGAGTAGCCATTTTTTAAACATATATTAAAAAGGTTACCAATAAGATGACGTTTTTTTTTTTATCAAAGCGACAGTCACTCCAGATCTATGTCTTAACTTTTGGCCTTAGCCCTTCATCAGGGATTGGAGGTGTCCTCACCCTTATGACGCAAATATGGATTTGATATAAGGGTGGAGACTATAAGACTCTTTCATGCCCAGGGGTGTAGGATAGGGAAATTCCTACCGAGGGTTTTTCAAATTTGTGCCAAATTTGAAAATCCCGCGGGTGGAATTTCCCTATCCCACACCCTTGGGCATGAAAGAGTATTTTTCTCTCATTCTAACCACCAGAATAAGCCCAGAAACCATGGATTGTCGACGTGACGTCATTTTATTGTTTCCGTGATGTCATTCAATTGTGTTGTGAATGGGGAATCATCCCTCTCAACAATAAGATCGATGTTTATTCCGACTGGAATTTGTTAATTGTATGTATATGAGAAAATGTTAAAACATGGGTCTGTTCCATAGACAGGGATATCTCAACCCTCGTGTAAGAGGGAAAACAAAATATGTTTACAAAGTGCAAAAAATACTATATCGGTATTTCATTTCTTATTTACTGGAACCAATAATGTTTTGTTTTGTTTTTTGATCCTGCAAAAGGTGAAAAGCAGCACGAAAAATAATATCACAATAAAAAATGTAAGCATCTCATATGTACCTCAATTTGTGTCTGTTTTTGAAGAGAACGACAATTTCCTTTAATTCAATTCAAGTATTTTATTGTTAATACAAACAAAGAAAATTACAAGTATTACATAAGAAATATAACTGTTCATATATTAACGAAGGGTTAAGGCAACAGGCTACGCTAATTTTCTTTAGTTCCATGAATGTTCATCAGAACTTCTTTCTTTTTGTATCAATCGTTAATTCGGTAAAGAACCGTAATGAATTGGGATGTTGAATCGAAATTAGCCATCAGAATCTTTTTAATCAATCGTTATATTTACAAAGTATGGTGAAAAATATTTGATATCCTTTTTCAGTTAAATGAGGTGCATGGAATGCAAGATTTTTCCAGAGACGTTTCATTACATACCCCGTACTGTGCCTCTTTTGAGTTAATGGTCTAAGGGACATAACTCCGCCAAGCTTAACGACATTAAATTATTTCTATGCTTTATTCTTTCATTTCCAAAAATATCAGCTGATTGCTGTTTTTATAATTTTTCCAACTTACTTTTGTGACATTGGTACCGTTAATGATATAATTGATCTGGAAATCTGACAATGATTGTCGCAAATTGGTGTTTGATTCTGCGCAGAAACGACATTTGAGTCTTCGCGCGGGCTTCCGGTATTGGTTAGAATACACATGGTCGACCTCTGAAAATTTCTTTCCGGTGGTAAAAATAGGTTTCGGTTGAGCAGTGATGGATAATATACCAGCGGCCATGGACAGACACTTAGACGTGATTCAGTGTCATGAAGGTGAGATCTTTTAATTCATATATTTCGGCTTTAGAATTGCGGTTTTAGAATGTACAAACGTCACTCTCTTGGACAGCTCGCCAGACTGCTGTGTTGCACATGTGTTGTCTCCTTTTGTTGCTGATGGAAACACAGATAATACACTTAGAAAGAATTTGCCGAGACTCACGTGGATGAGGGCAGCATGGTTTGTGTTGGTCATACACAGATCGCGACTGTACTACTATATAAACACAAGCTGTATTGTACTAATTTTCTTGTTTATGTCCTGTGTAGTGAAACGGAAAGTCAAATCTGCTGATAACAATATATATTTTTTATTATCATATCATTGTACTGAAAGATTATTTTTTTTACATTTAAGTACTTATAATGCTTTAAGTCACATTTAAACATTCTGCATATTTGTTGGAATGGATTCGGTCGTTTTGCCCTTTATATTCGCCTGTGTTCCTAATGTACTAATTTTATAGAATAAATCTCAATACAAGGGGGTGTCTTTTTCTTGTACCAATGTAAACACACACAAAATATAGAGACATTGAAAAAATGTGGCTACTGGAAAAAGTAAACATCTTATAGGTTTAGTTTTAGGTTTTATTTGTTTAACATCTTAATCCCTTTAACAGCTTAGTTCATTTAAGGACGTGCCTCCATGTATGTTGTTGATACGTGCATGTTTGTATGTGTGCTGGAGACATGGTATGTTGATGTACTTGCCTCCCTGTGATAACACGGATCTGATGCTCACTTTATAGTGCTATCTCAATGAAATACCATGCTGAAGGTACCCAGTCACATGATACTGACATTGGGTGAACCAGTTGTTGCCATTACCCTTAATGCTGAACGTTAAGCAGGGAATAACAACTACCATTTTTAAAGACTTTGTTATACCTTGCCTTGGAACAGAACCCATTGCCTTCCTCACCTGGGCAAACGCTCAACATTAAAGCCAAATGTAAGGTATTACCAGCCTTCGATACTACCGGGGGCCCGAGGCCATCTAAAATCACGACAGTCCCCCTAATATTGTGCTCACAGTGGTCCGTCAGGCCCCCCGATTTATTGTCCTACTTAATCCCAAGATTCATTTACTTACGTTTTATTTTGATCACAAACCACTATGAGTAAAAACATTCGCGTCTCAAGATTTACAAATTACTGTACTGAAATTGTTCGGGTTCTTCAAGCACTACGAATCCAGTCGTCATCAGCATGTGAGATGCGTAAACCGATTAATTTTACATCTGTGTCGGCGGCAGCACGTTTGAATCGCATGTTGTTTAAACCAACCGATAGTCAAGCGTGTATACGACTGCGAACAGCCTGGATGTCAAGAATGTCGCTGTTTAAGTGGCTAAGAACATCTCCCCGGCCTCTTAAAAAGGCCAAAACGACGGACGAAAAGAGGGAGACGCAAAACCTCTATGAAAAAACATTTTTCATACAACAAAAAGACGATTTGTTGTGTAAAAAAGATCTGATAGAGCTGCAAAGAAAAGCCAACAGATTTATGTTATCTAAATAAAGATTAACACTTTTGAAGCAAAGTATTTCTTCAATTATTTTGAAATCTAAACAGAATGAAGAAACAAAAGTTGATTTTGCCCCTGAAAATACTTTATTTAAAAAAAAAACACCCAGAAAACCCTTAAAAACAGATAGTTAGCAAGTATGGTGACCTTTATTAATTAACATTTATCTCAGTTGAGCAAATTAAAGTACCCAAAAGCCAGTTGGTCTTTCAGGTGTCGGGTTAGAACAAATTATAGTGAATCTGGCCTTATTTTTACACTCAAAACACTTGTTGATATGTTTTGTTCATTTCATCTTTATCATTTTTAGCTCACCTGGCTCAAAGGGCCATGTGAGCTTATGCCATACGGCGGCGTCCGGCCGTCAACTTTTTCTTTTGTACAACTTCTCCTGAAGAACTGTAGTACCTAGGGTCATGATATTTGGTCAGTAGGTACCTGGGATGGAGTGCTATAAAGTTTCCTCATTAAAATGACCTACTTTCAAGGTCACTGCTGTCAAATCTGTTAAAAATTTCAAACAACAATATCCTAAGAACCATTTCAACTAGAGTCATGATACTTGGGTATGTTACGTAGACCAGCAGTGCAAATATTTTTCTCAATTACAATAATGAGGTCAAAGGTCAACTTTAAATGCTAGTCAGGGGTCAAATGCCAACTTTGGTTAAAAGCTTTAACAATCTCCTTCTCAAGTTTCATTAGGCCCTGGTTCATGATATTTAGCCAGTAGGTACCTGGGATGGAGTGCTATAAAGTTTCCTCATTAAATATGTTAAAAACTTCAAACAACAGTATCCTAAGAACCATTTGGACTAGTCATGATACTTAGGTTTGTTATGTAGACCAGCTTTGTGAATTGTTTTCTTCGTTACAGTAATGAGGTCAAAGGTCAACTTTAAGTGCAAATCCGGATTCAAAGGTCAATATGGGTTAAAAGCGTTAAAATTAAAATTTTAAGTTTCAAAGAACAATATCTTCAGAACCGTTTAAGAGATGTTAAAATGTCTTGTGTTCTAGTTACCAAATGGTCTTACGTTACCTATATGTCAGTTGCATGTAACAAAAGAAACAGGTGAGCAATACAGGCCCTCTGGGCCTCTTGTTAGCTCACCTGGTCCGAAGGACCATGGTGAGCTTGTGTCATACTGCAGCGTCCGTCCGTCAACTTTTCCTTTAAAACGCTACTTGTCATGAACGACAGAGCAGATTTTGACCAAATTTGGTCAGAAGCTTCCTTGGTGGAAGGGGAACACATTTTGTATAAATGGTGGATCTGGTCCCCTGGGGGGAGGGGCCATATAGGGGAAACATAGCAAATTATTCTTTAAAATCCTTCATCTTCTGTAGGAAGGAAAGGATTTGGTCCATATTTGGTGTGGAGCATCCTTGGGTAAAGGGGAACCAATTTTGTATAAACGGTTGGTCTGGGACCTGAGAGGCGGGGCTCAATAGGGGAAATAGAAGTAAAACCTTTATAATCCTACTTCTACCATAGGGATTAAGGGATATTATCCTGTTTTAGTCTGGAGCATCCTTGGGCAAAAGGGACTCAATTTCGTATAAGCAGTGAGTGTGCCCCCCCTGGGGGCAGAAGAGATGGGCCCAATAGGGGAGACATAGCAAATTCTTCAAAATCCTTCTGCTTTTGTAGGAATGACAGGATTTTGTCCAAATTTGGTATGAAGTACCCTTGGGTGAAATTAAGGTGAACCAATTTTGTATAAGCGGTGTGTCTGACCCCCCTGAAGGCAGAGAGGCGGGGCCCGATAGGGGAAATAGAGGTAAAGCCTTTAAAATCCTTCTTCGACCATAGGGATTAAGGGATTTTATCCTAATTTAGTCTGGAGCATTATTGGGCCAAGGGGACTCAATTTTATATAAGCAGTGGGTATGACCCCCCTAGGGGCGGGACTCTGTTTTTAGTTTGTTCTCGCTATATCTCAAGTACTGGATGGATCTTTCTGAAATTTCATATGTACTTACTGCACCTACCATGGAGTGCTATATCTTTACTTCATACCAATTACTTTTTAACATATTCAGGTGAGCGATACAGGCCCTCTGGGCCTCTTGTTCATAAAACCCTGCATAGTATGGTTTTCATTTCAGAAAGGATTTATCAAAGCTATAATCATGTCAGAAAAAACATTTCCCAATGCACAGTTTCAGTTTTTTCTGAAATTTCATATGTACCTAAATTCAGTGATAATATTTCGGCAAATGAGATTACATTTCAGAAGATTACTTTGTCAGACAATAACAATTTCCCAAGTACTTTAAATTTTACAATATTTTCTGTAAAAACAGTTGCTCCAATATATATGTCTTGTTTTTGAAAATCAGGCTAGTACGTATACTCTGAAAGTGAAAATTTACGCCCCTAAATCAGTGTTTCCAGAGACCCCCAAATAAGTGTTGTTTATCCCCAAAACAGTTGGTTGTAACCCCAGTTTTCAACAGGTGCCCTGTGTAACTAAATAACTAGCAGTACAGAATCTTGAAAATGTATCAAATAAACCCCCAAATCCAAAACATAGGTGGGAAGTGGGGAACACTGCTAAATACTGATATTGTCTCACGTTTAGAAATGTAAAACACTTCATTAATGATCATATGGTCTAAATATTGAGAAAATTTAAATCCAAACAATATATAAAATAACAATAATTAAATAATACTAAAATGGGGAGCCACTGAAAGAAATTATAGCCTGGCTCTGCTCCTAGTTCCACCCCCCCTAGTCTTCCGTAGAAATTCTCTCAACAAAATAAAAAGAAATGCATCATTCATTTCTTTTACACATGGTTTTCAAATTGAAATCATATTTCCAATAAATTCCTTCCCCAGTGTTCGTAAAATTTTAGTAGTAAATATGCAGGCTTATTTAATTTGTAATCTGACACACTTGATATTAAAATACATGTCCGGTCTGTGTGGAACAAAGTTGTAATTAAATATTCCAGTTTTGTTGTGAGCGTAACTTAATTAATGACGTGTTGGGAGGCTTGTGTATTGGAGGTTATTTCCTATGAGTACTGATGACACAGATCAACTTACAGGTCTAGTACTGCCGCTTTAAATGTCTCAATCAAATCTGATGCCTGCGACATATCCATTGTCGCACCTGACAATGCAGATCTCACCTGTGGTACTCCCTCACCTGGACCTGGCCAGGTAGATCAGGCTACCATACAGACTGTCCACTGATTTGTAAACAGATCATTGGATTGATTTATGCATAAGTCCTTACACAATCTGCTTTGTTTTTTGTTTTGTCTGAAAAAAACACCAAGGTGAAGTATACGATTATATGGTTAATATTAATAGATGATAGCGAGCATGTTTTAATAACGACCTGTAACGAGGCTGTCTGCTGTGTCACGTTAATTTGTTTTTGAAAAAAAAAGAAAAATTTGTTTTTAAGAAATTCAATGAAACAGTTGTGAAATACCTGTACAT